TTTAACCATTGGCTTTGGGACGATGAATCCTGAAGAGATAAAAAAAATGCTCGCTTTCAGGTTCTGTCCTACAAAACACAAGTCATTCCGCCAGCACTCTATTATATGTAGTTCACAAACAGAAACAGGCCAGCAGAGGTCTCCCTGTGTCTGAAGCACAACAATCGGCTCTGTCGACAAGACACGGTCCTTAGAGACGCATTTCAGATCACTGACTCACACAGTGCTGGAGTCTGTGATATTTCATGTGTAGGCACTCGTGTTCCGAACAAAGCCCCTTGTGTTTGTGATGTCACGGCAAAACAATGTGGCGGACGAGGGAGGGGAAGCACGATTCCACCTAATGGCCGTGATTATAGAGCTCTACACTACGGGAACACTACTAATGACTGCAGCTGCACAGTAACACGCAACTCTTAAGTCCAGGTGAGCGGCAATCTCACACGGGGAGGGTTGGATCTCACTGCTCTGAGGTAAGATCAAACCGAGGGCATTTTCCTGTTCAAAACTGAGTCCAGGAAAGCAGCTCATTAGGTCAGCCATTAGTCTGATAAATTAGTCACACTGATTGGGACGGATCCAGCCGATCACTTCCACTACATTAGCAAAAGCCACACCGCAAGGATCAAGAGCCCAGCAGCTGAGGGGTAAAAAGGCTAAAGTCGGACCCCATTCCACACCCAGTGCCAGATCGAGCGGGGAGCGTTTGGACTTCCCTACCTGATCCGCAAGCTTCCCGAGCCTGTGGGGCTACATCAGCCAGTGAGCAGATGAGAGACAGGGAGAAAGTGAGGAAAGAGGAATATGGGGTGAAGATTTATGGATGTGACAAAGAAAAGGAATAAATATGAAATACAAAAGGAGGAAATGAGAGCCATGTGGGACAAAAGAACAAAAAAACAACATGCAGAGTGACAAAATAATAAGAAGTGAAGATATTGTTGATCGATATTATTTTTCCCAACCCACACAGTCTTATATGTAAATATAATATTTACAGTTTTAAATACAGCATATATATATATATATATATATAGCATATATACGGCCCAATAC